GGCCGGGACTAGCCGGCCGCCCGCCTGGGAAGCCCAGTGATGCCTCCTGCGGGCCTGTGCTCCACCTTTGGTCCCTCCTCAGCCGCCCACCGCCCAGTACCTGCCTCCCCCTCCAAGCAGTGACACGGAGAAGGGACAGTAACCTCCCTACAGGCTGAAAGGCACAGGCCTCTCAGAAGGAGCTGCTCCTGCTCCCGCGTCCCCATCCTCACCTAGGGAGGTTCCTGGCAGCCCGTAGTGTCTTCTTAATTCCATTAAATTAAAAAAACGTAACAAAAATATTTTATTCAAAGCATTGCACACACACAGGTCTGATGTGGGGACGACATACAGAAGCGCCCCCACCTCGCCAGGAGCAGCCGACACCCAGGCTCCCACCTGTCTGGTGCAGCTGCAGCTGGCACTTCGCTGGCGAGGGGCCTCATGGGCCACAAGCTGTCACCTACCAGCAGCAGCATTGCCATCTCTGGTCCTGCTTCCCTCTCTGGGCCACTGCTCCTCCCTGGTGCCGTCCCAGGAAGGGACAGTCCCACCCCAAGTGTCTCAGGGTCCTGTCACCCATGTTAGAGACAGTCGCTTCCTCCTTTCTCAAAACCAGCCTGCAAAGGGAGCAGCGTAGAAGCCAGGCTGGGTAGCCATAGGGGACGGCTGGGGCAAGGATGCAGGCCACCAAATGACCTCTGGGGGGCGCTCTGCCCAGCACTGGCCCAGGGCTTGCAGACACTGTCTGCTCCAGCCATGCCTGTGGGTTCCGGGGGCTTCGGTCTCCAGAAGGGTCACTGCCGCCGCAGCCACATGGCCAGGCCTGCAGAGGGGAGGCCTGTCTGGCACACGCAGGGTGCACACGCCACAGAACGCGGGGTGCACACGCCACGGAGCCCACGGTGCCCAAGGCAGCAATATACACACAGTACTGTAGGCGCAGCAGCAGCCACCAAATGCCGCGGTGCCCACCCCAGGAGCAGCCCGCGCTTGGGCTCAGGACAGAGAGCTGCGGGCCGGGGGGAAAAGCCGCGCAGGCGGGGAGAGGCGCGCGTCCAGGCTACCCGCAGGTCGGCGTAGCAGCTCCTCCACGTGCCGGGCCACATCCATGGTCTCATCCAGGTCGAATTCGCCCTCCTGGTCCAGGATGGGGTCGGGGCTGGCAGAGAGGAGGCTGTGATGGAGTATGCCCCAGGGCTGCTCAGGGAGGCCCCTCTTGAGCTGGGAGGCAAGGTCCCCACTCCCTGGGAGCCTTGCTGCTCTATGCCCCTTGCTGCCACCTTGGGAATGGTCCAGGGGGCACACGTCCCTTGGCTGAGGCTCTTCATGGCAAAAGGGCTATGCCACCGGCAGCTGTGTGGCTCACCCTGGCACCGTAGCACCTACCACACTGGGCCCCACCCCCGGTGCTGCACATGGGCACGGAGTAGCTCCAGGCAGGATAGGACCCTGGTCTGGGTAACCCTATCCTCCAAGACCCACCGAGCTCTGGGGTCACCCCAGCCCTGCAGGGGTTCAGCCTGATGCCAACCCCACCCAAAAGCATAACCTACTTCTGCGGGTACATGTTGTACGGTGCCTGGGGACACACGGCTGGGGATGGGGCCTGGTCCATGTAGGTAGCACTGGCTGCAGAGTCTGCAGAGGCGGTGGCAAACCTGCCAGGGAGGCAGAACACAGGGAAACTCAGCTTCCAGGGGCTGCAATTAATTCACAGGCATCTTGGAGGCTTTGCAGGGAGCAGGACAGAGTAGGGGCAGGGGGAACTGGCCACAGCATGACCAACCGCCAGGAGAAGGGGTGGGGTGCACGGCAGGCTGGTGGGTGAGGCTGGACACTTACTCGGGGACTACCTGCTTGATCTGTGGCTTCACGTAGCCATCCACGGCTTTACCTGTGGGGACAGTGGGGGTGAGTGCCATACCTGCTCTCCAGGGTGGGCTGGGGCACCCACCATGCTGGGCCCTGCCCGTGTCACCCCCGGGAGCCTAGGTGGGACTCCCCAGAGACTCTGTGGACCCTGCTCATGCAGATGGCCCCAGTGCCACTGTCACAGAGACTTTGGCCTGGATTTAGGACTGTCCATCTTCCTGCCCCACACCCCTGAAGAAACACGGTCCACAGGTGGCTGCAGAGCCCTGTCCTCCACCCTGGGGACAGACTGAAGGAGAGACAACTGCCCACTTCCATTCCTACTCTTTTTCATTTCTGTTTGTCTTAACCAGGTTCTTGCTATGTTCCCAGGCTGAATAGAAACTCATGGGGAATCCTCCTGCCTCGGCCTCCCGAGTGCTGGCATGACTGGTTCCCCCTCCACTCCCAACGCGAGGGTGTTGGGGTGGCCTGGCAGCTGCCTGTGGCTGGGAACGCGCAGACCCTCGGTACAGAGGTGAGACTCGCCCGCCCGCGGAGCAAACTACAGACTGACTTTTCTCCTCGCTCCTGCGCTGGGAGCCCTGGTGTCACTCCACCATCTCGGGCACCGAGGGCCATCCGGGGTGGCACAGGGACCCACCGAGCACAGGCGTGTAGTACTTGGAGAAGACCTCGTCCTTGGGCCGGTCGGGGAACACATACACCAGGTAGCTCAGGTCACTCAGGCGGTCTGCCAGCGAGCGGATGCAGAAGTCCCGCGTGGTGAAGGGCTTGAGATTCCACAGGTTGCGGTCGGCTGCGGGGGAAGGCTGGGTTAGGCCAGACCGGAGGAGGCGCCGAGGACGGAGCAGCCCCCTGCGGTGGGCACGCGCTGAGGCCGCTCACGAGAGTCGAACTTCCAGGCGATGGTGATGCCGCCGATCTCCGAGTCGCTGAAGCGCAGCAGGAAGGTGCCGTCCGGCTTGTTGATGAGCAGGTCGTGCGCCTGCTGCTTGTTCACGAAGCCCAAGATGGCGCTGGGGGAGGGGCGCTCAGGTCACCGCAGGCCGTGGCCACAGGCCCGTGTCCCACCACAGCCCGGGCCTCACCCATCGTTCCAGTGGGGCTTGTGATGCCTCTTGAGCACCTCCATGACCCCGTCGAACCACTGCCAAAAGGTGTAGTTCCAGCCCGGCAGGTTCTCCTGAGGGGAAGGGGAAACTGAGTCACAGCCTGCTCCGGGCTCCTGCTGCCTCCCCCGCCCCTCCCTTTGCACAGTCCCTGCTGGTTGTGCATTCTAGGAGCCAGCAGTGAGCTTGCCCCCCACACCGAAGAGCTGGGTCCAGCGCCACCCCTGGGCTGTTTGCTGTTCGGAAAGGTCTCATTACGCTGCCCAGGCTGGCTGTGACTGCAGGATTCTCCTGCCTCAGCCTCCCACGTGGCTGGGGTTCCTGGGGTGCACCACTTTGCCCAGCTGGGGAGCGGAGCTATAGGGTGAGGCAGGCTGGCTGGGCCTCTAAGGTCATTTCTGCCTCCCTTCTCTCTGGACAGGCAGACGACACTGAGGTGGAAGAGGTCCACAAATTAGAAATTTGTTCCAGCGCCAGGTCCCGGCTGTCACCCTGCCCTGGTTTACACGACTGCCCCTGCGCTCTATCTTGAGGTCTGGGCCCTCGCTGTCACCACCGTAGGACACAGAGGCCACAACACCAGTCCCAGGAACGGGAGATGGACGGGAGCTGGACGGCGGCCCTCACCCTGTTGAACTGCGACCAGGACACGGCCATGCCGCTGTAGTCCTCCAGGTGGCCGCTGCTGCTGCTGAACAGCTTCTGCGCCAGGAACACCAGGTTCTCCTTGGTCAGGCCCCGGGTGCTCTGCACCTCGGCCTTGAACTTCATGTCGAGCGCCTCGCAGAGCTGGGGCCACGGCACTTTGTCGGGCACCGCGAACGGCACCCTGCCCTGTGGTAGAGGCACAGGGACAGGGACAGGAGGCGGCTGAGGAAGCTGGTGTGCACAGGAGTGACACAAGAGGCAGGGAGGATGGAGGTCAGTGCAAAAGGGGGCAGAGACCGAGGGGACAAAGGCAGGGCACAGGTGTGGGTGTGTGTGGCGCAGACTCAGCCTGGGGCTGAGGACGGTGACAGGAATGCCAGCTGCGCTCACACAGGGACCTAGAGTCCCGGGGGTACGGGTAGCAGGGACTCACTGGCTCTGCAAAGGCATTGTCCCACAGCACAGTGGCTGTGGCGTTATGGTCCTGGCTGCCGTGGACGATGACCACCACGGGGAGGGACAGGGTCTGTGGAAGCCAAACGAAGAGGAAGTGTAGTATGTGGAGAAGACCTCGTCCTTGAGCCTACCCTGCTCGGCACCCTGCCCCCCACCCCAGGACACAAGGCAACCTGTCCCCTTCCAGTCACTGCAGGAGCCCTGTGGGCCTGGACAGGGACTCACCTTCACTTGGAACACGAGCTCGTGGCCGCCCACACTGAACTGCGACTCGAACAGCACCGTGAACTTTTCCTCCGTCACTGACTCTGCACCCCGCCGGTCGGCCCGCTTGATCCTCTTCAGGGACTATAGGGAGGACAGGGGCACACTGTGCTAATGACAAGGTCATGCCCCAGCCTGGCCCGGCCCCCCCGCTCCCCTCCCAGCGGCCCTCACCATGTTGCGGAAGTGGGCGCTGAGCGTGCCGGTGGCCTGGTGGTACTCCATGACGCAGCAGTTGTTCAAGATCTCGCCACTACACTCGCTGCAAGGACGGAGAGGCCTGGTCGGCAGCTCCGGCCTCCCGCTGGGGCCGGCCCCGCAGTGGTCCCTGCCCTGAGGGTGCTGCCTGGGTGCCCTGGGTGAGGGTGCATCTCCCCCGGCCCACCTGCCCTGAAGGTGCCCAAGGCCAGGTCCCCCAGGAGCAGGACTGCATCTCCATATAAGATTGCTGAGAATGAGGCGGGGCCTCCGCCACCTCGGGAGGGCGGTAAAATAAAAGCTGTGCTTGAGCCCGGTGTGGGGCGCACGCCTGCAATCGCAGCGCCTCCAGGCTGAGGCAGGAGGCTCCCAAGTTCAAGGCCAGCTTGGGCCACTTAGTGACACCTAAAATTTAACAGGGCTGGCTCAGAGCATTTGCCCACCATGCATGAGGCCCTGAGTTCTGTCCCCAGCACTTCAGAGAAAGGAAGAAGGAAGGAGAAAGATCGTCGGGGACCACGGCCTGCCTGCCTCCTTAGGATGTGTGAGCTGCACAGGGCGACACTGGCTGCACACAGCGGTCCCTGCCCGGCCGTGATGTCACTGGTCTAATTTTACCTCCAGCTGATCACTTTTTCCTTTTTTTTTGGAAACAGGGTCTCACTATGCTGGCCTTGAGCTCACTTTGTAGCCCGTGGTTGGTCTCAAACTCCCAGAGATCCTCTTGCCTCAGCCTCCTGGGTGCTGGGATTATAGGTGTGCACCACCAAGCCTGGATCAATTGATCACTTTTCTTTAGTGTATTTGGTTGTTGCAGGGGCTCACTACGCACCTCGGACTCCTGGTGATCCTCCTGCTTTCAGCCTCCCCAGCGCTGGGATTACAGGCGTGCCCCACTATGCCTGGACTCTAGCAGGCTCAGCCTGCCCTTGGGGCGCAGCTGGCATGGCATGTGGTGCCCAGGACTGAACCTCATCCCTGCGCTTGCCTAAATTTGCCTGAGCAGTTGCTTTATGGGCCCCAGTTGATCTCTTTTGAGTACTAGTTTTTAAGGGCTGGGGATTGAACCCAGGGCCTCCACACCACCCTTCTCTACAGACTTCCCCAGGTCCTGGCTGATCTGTGCTGGAACAGTCCCCTCCCGGGCCCTGGGCCACTCCTCCGGCCCCACTGCCAGCCTGTGCCCAGAGGTCAGGCCCCAGCTGCACAGTCAACCCTGCCAAGGGCCTGGCTAGAGCCACACCAGTGCCCACTGTGCCTGCAGCCACTCTGCTCCTCCAGGAGCCATGTGTCAGAGTCACAGCTGTGCCCAGCTTCCCGGAACAGTGAGGGTCTAGGGGCAGTGCCACCCTGCTGCACCCAAGGGTTGAACACTGCATCAAGAAACACCGAGGAGGTTCCTGGAGCAGCTGGGTCTGGGTGACACAGGAGCCTTGGCTCCAATGTGCCCAGCATCAGAGTGACCGACACCTTTGCGGACCTCCCGCATGTAGGCAACTGGGGGAAGAGCTTAATGTGTGCTGCAGGGGACAGGGTCAGGGGACGGGCGCGAGCCTGGCACAGAGTCCAACACAAGGCCGAGGAAAGGGAGACACAGCGCCAGCTCCAGGAGGGGCCGGGCCACCTACTTGCGGGTGTTCTCGTTCTTGAGCAGCGCCTTGGCCTGCTGCTCGCTGATGATGGTGGCCTTCACCTGCGGCGGGTTCATGTGCACATTCAGCTTCCCGCCCACCAGCAGCCGCACGGTGGCCGCAAACTTGGTCTGCGTCTTCAGGACCTGCGGGGGCTGCTTCTCGATGATGAAGGTGCTGTGGGAACATGGGACGCGCTGGCCGGGGACAGGGGACGCGGGGTGGGGGGACACGGGACGCGCTGGCCGGCGGTTGGGGAGGCGGGGTGGGGGCAATGGGCGGCCTGGGCCGGGCGGCACAGTCACCTGGTGACCAGGGCTGAGATGATGTCCGTGATGGTGGCGTTCACCTCCGCCAGCGTCCCCTCCGCCGGCCCGGGGATGGGCAGCTGCTGACACAGGTGCTCGGCCCTGCGGATCTGCTGCCGGTTCTGCCAGATGAGCTCGGCCAGCTTCTCGCACCTGCGGGCCCAGGCCGACAGTGGCGCGCGTCCTCCTCACAGGCTGGGGCGCAGGACGGGGCCGGACCCCACCCACAGCGGTTCCTCCGGGCGGCCTCACCAGGACTGCAGCACGTCCAGGCTGCCCTCGGGGGGACCTCCGTTCCCCGCCAGCTGCTGCCGCCGCTTCCACTGGATCAGCTCGTCGTCCAGGATGACCGTCTGTTGCTTGCGCAGCAGCTGCAGGGTCTTCTGGTGCTTCTCGGCCAGCTCCTGGGGG